TGTGGAGCAGCCCTAAAGCTGCCCTTGGCTGCACCAGGTCTGAGATGGCTGTGGGAGAGTGGTTAGAGGAGGGAATGTTCCCTCTTCTCCCAGCTGTACAGGGTGCATTCAGCTTCAATGAAAAATTCAGTCTGTGAGTTACAATTTTTGCTTGAGGAGCCAGATTTCTGTTTCCATTTGAGGAGTTTTGTATGCAAGCCTTCCCAAGCATCAGGATGAGAGTATTCTCGAGGGTGTGTTCCTGCTGCTTCAGCTGCATGGGTTTGCAATTCATTAAACCCTGCTGTCTTGCATGGCAATCTCAGTTCCTGCCCAACCCAGTGATGTTCACTTACAAAATGGCAAGTGCAGCCATGTGACAGACCAGCTCCATGAAATTTATCTCAGTTCCTGTGCAGTTTGCCAACTTTACAGGTGTTAAACAACAAACAGTGTCCTTTGAGTGGAAGGTCCCTGCTCATGGCATCATCTCCATCATCTCATCTACATCATCTCCACTGCCTCCTCAACCCAAACCATCCATGATTATATGGGTCCATGAATACCAATTAAGAATTTTAGGAGCTCTTCACAGTATTTTTCAATGGTTAAACTGGTTTACCTGTTAAAACTCTAAGTCACAGCATGAGTTTAGTTTATAATGACCCAAAATTCTTGGCTGTATCTAACCCAGGCACCACATTGCTCTCCAGGGAACACCATGAGTGCTGAAATTTGTGAAGAATTTGGGCAAGTTGTCACCATGTGCAAATGGCTGAATCCCATCACAGCTGAATGGATGATGTGTGTAATACTGGGGGATGATATAGGAAAATATGTCAAATACAAATTTGACATATTTGCAATTTTTTTTCTCATACCATTTGTATTGTTAAAAAGTGTGTCTCAATTTAGATGCACTCAGCCTGTACTTCTGTTGTTTATTTGAGTGTGAATTGGCACAGTTGGGATAGCTCTACCCTAGGTACAATTAACAGAAGGAGGAATTGGGTGCTTAGAAATTTGAATAAATTACCCCACGAAGGTTGTACAGAAATGTAATTCCCTGCTGCAAATATTTAGAGACAATCCTGGCCAAGCATCTTCTTTGGTGGTAGAAGATCACCCTTAGAAAAAGGATTAATGTGCATTTCAATATTTATTTATGTGCGATTTTAATTTTTAGTTTCAGCACGCATCCACAGTTGCTCTCAGTCAAAACATCTGTCTTCATATTAACTCAGAGTACTTCTGATTGTTAAAAAAACAATGTTATGAGATGTGGGGGTAGAATAATTATCTCTCTAATACAGCATTAAGAAATTCTCTGCACGGAGAAAGACAGATTTACATTTGCTTTGTCTTATGTGGGTGTAAGAGATAATGGGAGTATAAATCTCTGTAGGATAATAAAATGTATAATTTAGAGTCTCTGCATAAGATTAATGCCACACAGTTTTTTCTTCTTCCCCCCCCTCTTTAAGTAATGAGATTACTATTTTCACTGGTTACAGTTTCATTATCAACCAAAATAATCAACTGACCATAGCATATTTATGGGATTTTTGATCTAAAAATGTAATTCTTAGGGTCATTGTGTTTAGGAATAAAATTGGTTCTTAATAATTTTAGTGTAGACTTTTAAAACTCAGTTTTTATTTGGTTGCCAGGACTTTTTATTAGTTGTATTTTATGATAGTGTTTTTAGTTTAGGAATTGATCCTTTTTTTGAAATATGGTACCTTGTGATAATGAAGAAGGGGAAATACAAGAAGAAAAAGTAAAATGTAAAGAGGGAATAGGGTTTTTTGGTATCAATATTAGCGCTGGTCCCCATCATGTAATAAAATACAATAATTTTGTGAGATACTTTGTATTATCAAGTCTATTACTAGGTGTTCATGCTTCTAAAAATAAAAGTTATTGTGTTAGTGAACTCTGTGCAGAGAGGCTGAACATCAGGAGCCTCTCAGAGCCCTTTGTAAGAAATGTTGGAAGGCAGTGGAATTAAGGGGTTGCTTCCTAGACCAGGTCATCTTGAGTGCTTTGGCATTTCCCCTCATTTTCTGTTTCAGTTTACCCAGTGAACACGAGGGTCACGGTGCAGAGCTGCTGCAGATCCCAGGTGGTTTGGCAGAAATGTGTGATGGGATGCTGTTCCCTCATTTTGCTGCAGGGAGTTCATGTTCAGCATAATTGTTCCAGTAAAGCCTCATCCTGTTCTTATTTATCAGCTTCCAAGCATTGCTTCTCATTGCATGAGACTTCCCTCAGACAAATGGTTCCTGTGAAC